AGGGAGTCCAACCTTATGATGTACCCCATATTTCTTCAAAAGTGCTTCGAGTTGTTTCTTGGCGAAATGAGATCCGCCATCACTAATTAGGCACCGTGGCACCCCAAATCTAGGAAAGATGATCTTCTTGAGCAACTTCAACACTACCTTGTGGTCATTTGTGGGTGATGGTATCGCTTCCACCCATTTAGTCACATAATCCACAGCCACAAGGATATACAAATTCCCACATGAGGAGACAAACGGACCCATGAAGTCCACTCCCCATACATCAAATGGCTCAACTTCTAAGATTGATTGTTGCGGCATTTCATTTCTCTTTGTGATTCCTCCCATCCTTTGGCATCGGTCACATCGAAGGATGAACTTGTGAACATCTTTGCGCATAGTTGGCCACCAAAGCTTGCAACCTAGGATCCTTGCCACGGTCTTGTTGACACCTCCATGACCTCCACAAGGTAGTGAATGACAATGTTCCATAATACCTTCCATCTCATGATTTGCCACACATTTTCGGAACAAACCGTCACTACACTTCTTGTACAAGCTTGGATCATCCCAAAAATACCTCTTAACTTCCTTGAAGAACCTCTTCCTTTGTCGAGCATCATAGTCATGAGGTACCACCCCGCTTGCTAAATAATTTGCAATATCAGCGAACCAAGGGATGGTGTTGGTAACGATCGCCATAAGAGAGTCATCTCGAAGCTCATCATCGATGGGATCCTCTTTGTCAAGGTAAGAAGGGTGGTCTAACGGCAACCTTGAGAGGTGGTCAGCCACTAGGTTCTCACTTCCTTTCTTATCCCGTATTTCAATGTCAAATTCTTGTAAGAGAAGGACCCATCGGATTAGACGCGGCTTAGCATCCTTTTTGCTCATTAAATACTTCACCGCGGAGTGATCGGTGTAGACAATGGCCTTGTTGCACACCAAATAGGGTCTAAACTTGTCAAAAGCGAAGACCACCGCCAACATTTCCTTCTCCGTGGTGGTGTAATTCTTTTGTGCCGTATCTAAAGTCCGGCTTGCATAAGAGATCACATTCAATTTCTTTTCTTTCCTTTGCCCAAGGACTGCTCCAACTGCATTATCACTCGCGTCACACATTAGTTCAAACGGGAGTTCCCAATTCGGTGCTTGCACTATAGGCGCATTCACTAAAGCATTTTTCAAGGTTTCAAATGCCTTAGTGCAAGCATCATCGAATTTGAACTCCACCTCTTTTTGAAGTAAACTCGTCAAAGGTCTCGCTATTTGTGCAAAATCTTTGATAAATCGGCGATAGAAGCCGGCGTGCCCCAAGAAGGCACGTACCCCGGTCACCGATGATGGTGGGGGTAGCTGTTCTATCGCCGAGACCTTTGTCGGGTCTACCTCAATACCATTAATGGACACTTTATGCCCGAGGACAATGCCCTCCTCGACCATAAAATGGCACTTTTCCCAATTCAACACAAGGTTCGTCTCTTGACACCTCTTTAAAACCTTTTCGAGATTGTGCAAGCATAGGTCAAAAGACGAACCACAAACACTGAAATCATCCATGAAAACTTCTATTGCATTTTCGATCATATCAGAAAAGATTGCTGTCATACATCGTTGGAAAGTCGATGGGGCATTGCACAATCCGAAGGGCATCCTTCGGTAGGCAAATGTCCCAAATGGACAAGTGAAGGTTGTTTTATGTTGGTCATCCGGGTGAATTGGGATTTGAAAGAAACCCGAATAACCATCAAGAAAACAATAGTGTGAATGCTTCACCAACCTTTCCAACATTTGATCGATAAATGGCAAGGGGAAATGATCTTTTCTAGTGGCTTTATTAAGCCTCCTATAGTCAATGCACATTCTCCACCCCGTGACAGTGCGGGTGGAGATATCATTCCCCTTGTCATCTTGTATGATGGTCATGCCTCCCTTTTTGGGAACCACATGAACCGGGCTCACCCATTTGCTATCGGAGATAGCATAAATGATCCCCGCTTCACGTAGTTTGAGGATTTCCTTCTTAACCACTTCCTTCAAAGTCGGATTCAACCGCCTTTGAGGTTCAATGGAAGAGGCATGATCATCCTCAAGATGAATGCGATGCATACACAAGCTAGGGCTAATCCCCTTAATATCATCAATGCTATACCCGATAACACTCCTATATTTTTTTAAAATCTCAATTAATTTTTGCAATGAGGTGTCATCGAGGTTAGCATTGACAATAATAGGATGTAAGCAATCATCATCCAAATAAGCATATTTGAGAGAAGGAGGGAGGGGTTTTAGTTCTACCTTGGGAGGAGGCGTGGAACTCTCCTCCTTAGACTCACTTTGGATCGATGGGAGCTCATCCACGGCTCCTTGAGTCTCGGGATGAGTTTCACCTTCAAGGCTTTCAACCTCCAAGGCACACAAAGATTCTCCTTCACCCACCTCCTCACATGGGAGGTCTTCATCACCCTTGTCTTTAAATACCTCATGAGACTTCACCAATTCATCAAGTTCGGAGTCCACCAAGTCCACCCGCCAAATCTTCTCTACCATAGGTTGCTTCAAAGTCTTTGAGAATTCAAACTTGTACTTCTCATTGGCCACCTCACATGTAATGGTATTATCTTTGCAATTGACGACCGCTCCCATGGTCTTGAGTGCCTCTCTTCCAAGGATAAGAGGAGTATGAGGGTCCTCCTCCATATCCATCACCACAAAATCGCAAGGCACAAACAAATTCCCAATCTTGATAGGAACGTCTTCTAACTCACCGCATGGGAATTTTGTGGACCGGTCGGCTAATTGAATCACCTTTCTTGAAGGTATCATCTCGAACTTGAGCTTCTTTGCAATGGATAGTGGCATGAGGCTCACACTTGCCCCAAGATCGGCTAGTGCACCCGTGGTCTCCATATCACCAATCTTGACCGGAAGAGTGAAGCTTCCCGGATCACATTGCTTGGTAGGCAAGGTTCTTTGCACTAGGGCACTAACTTGATGAGGAAGAGTGATACACTCATCACTTAGCTTCTTTTTGTTGGAGAGGAGTTCCTTGAGGAATTTTGCATAGGGTGGCATTTGAGTCATGGCTTCAAGGAATGGAATGTTGATGTGAAGTGACTTGAGCATAGCCATAAACTTGTTGTACTTGTCATTCAATCTCCTCTCAACAATCCTCTCGGGATAAGGCGGTGGTGGTTCAAACCTTGATGGTTGATAAGATGATGATGGTTGCTTGTCTCTCCCAACTTCCTTGCTTTTTTCACTACCTTCACCCTTCTTCTTCTCAATGCTTCCTTCAACACTATTGTCAATTATTTGACCTTGGCTATCTCCATTGACCTCTTCAACCTCTTGCTCTTCACCCTCCTTGTTGTGCTCCGATTGATCACTCCTAGGCCCCTCATAAGACTTTTCCGGACCTAAGAGATATAGCCTTGATATGATGGGTGGTGGCGGGGTTGGTAGTAGGTTGGCCCGGAAGCTTCTCATTGGCTAGATTGGTCACCCTCTCGGCGAGTTGAGCCACTTGATTGTCCATCATCTTTTGATGTGCGGCGACCTCTTGATGCCTTTGATCCGCTTTCCGCTCACTATTGGTTATTCTTTGATCCATGGCGGATAGGGTTGATTGGATTCTATTGAGAGTTTCCATGATCATTTGTTGATTAGGGTCATTTTGCATGGAAGGGTTGGGTTGGAAATTCTGAAATTGGTTGGGTGGTCCTTGCTTGAATGGTGCTCTCGGATGGTTGCTTGCATTTTGATTTGGAAAGGGAGCCAATTGACCCGTATTGTTGCTTGGGCCACTTGCATCTTGAAATCTATGACCATAATTGGCATTGGGGACTCTCCAATTATCACGTTGATTGTTCATGTACCCCATTGCCGCTACATGCTCGGGATCTCGACCACCACAATATGATATGTCGTGGTTGGTACCCCCACAATTCTCACAAGAGAAAGAGTGCACTTGCTTGGCGGAGGAAGATGAAGACTCTTGGCTTTTTCCCAACTTCTTGTCAATGACTTGTTCCATAAGGGCCTTGAGTGAACCTTGGTCAAGCTCGAACTTGCCCGAAGCTCTCTCATCACCTCTTCTTCTTCCACCACTCGTAGAATAGTACCTCACAACTTCCTCTATGGTGTCCTCCAATTGAGCTTGAGGCACCTTGCTAATGTGCCCACCACATCCGGAATTCAAGTTTTGCTTGGGTATGTCGTCAAGACCATCATAGAAGAACTTGATGAGAAGTTGCTTGTCAAACTCATGGTGTGGGCAAGCTCTCACATACTCTTTAAACCGGTCCCAAGCTTCCCCCAAGGATTCATACCTTTCTTGCCTAAATGATGAAATTTTCTGCCTCAATTCGGTTGATTTGTCTTCTGGAATGAACTTGTTCAAGAAAGCTTTGGCCGTGTCTCTCCATGTGGCCAACGAGCCGGGCTTTAGGTTTTTGAGCCACCTATAAGCTTTGCCCGTGAGCGAATACCGAAAAAGGTGCATCCGGATGTATTCTTGAGTGACTTGGTTGGTTTGGACTAAAGCACATGTCTCGAGAAATTTGTCCAAATGCTCTATCGGATCTTCATGAGCTGCTCCAGAAAATTGATCTCCACGCACCATTTGAGTGTAGTGCGGGTGGATCGTGAAATTTGTTTCCGTTGTAGGAAGTAGAATCCCACATTGCAATTCATGACTACCCGGATTACCAAAGTCACCAAAAAGAGCGCCATTGGCATCCCCCATGTCTGAAGAAATATCACTAGAAGAATCAAAGAACTCCTCCTCCTCACCCGTTTGTTCAACAAATAGTCTCCTCACTCGCCTTAGAGTGCGGTCAATGTCGAGATCGAGGTCGTGAGTAGGTGGTCCCTGTGATCTTCTAAGCATTCAACACAGCTAAGCAGACAATTAGCGAATGACAACAACGGAGAAATAAATGAAAAATAGAAGGATAGAAGTAGAAAACAATTGAAAAACAAGATAACTAAGCAATAAACAATGTTGCCACTTCCCCGGCAACGGCGCCAAAACTTGATCGGCCCCCTAGGTGTCGTTAGTTCCTAAAGGTCGAGTCAAGAATAAAAAGAAAACCCACGTCCTAAACTAACCAAAGGTAGCATAGTGGAAGAGGGGTCGAATCCTCAGGGAAGGTCAAACGTCTCTTGCTTAGATCACTTATAAGTCAATTGAAAAGGGAGGAATAAATTTTTGATGGATTTATCTATAGCTACTAGGGAAACAAATAAACTAAGAACTAAATTAACAAGCAACAAGCAGAGGTATAAAACTTCGAAAATCAAGGAATAGCAAACACTAGGGGATAGGGGAGAATTCCTAACTAACAATGATTTCAACAATTAGAGGCAACAAGAATGGTTCAATCGGTCAACCAAACAATTGGGGCCTATGGTCCAACATCTAGGATTCCCTCTCGGGCTCACCTAAACACCGCCTACCCAACCCCGCCTCGGTGGTCGAGGTCATCCCTAACCTAGTCATCATCACATACAAGCTCACTCTCGCGCAACTAGCATGCAACACAAAATAGGGTCTTAGAGGTGATCAATCTCTAATTCCTAACAACTAAAACCTAGGTTGGAATCAATTGCAAAACTTCTCAATCTACCCAATCTTGCACCACATATCATTCATTTCATCATTAGTTCATCATTTCCCCCTCCCCTAGCTAGAAACCTAGCCTAGAGAAGGAAGGGTCATACCAAAGCACACAAGAACATTAACAAAAGCAAAAACTAAGTTTAATGAGAGAAACATGGCTAAAACCAGAAAATAGGATGATTAAACTTTACTAAAGAAGTTAACTTTGAAGAGAATATGTTAAGTCTACTTGTAATCTATTCTAAATAGCATGAAATCTAAGCAAATAAGGATAATATTATACTAATAGCAAGAAAATAAAGGATCAAAACCAGAAATTGCAAGTTTAAACAAGGAGGCAACTAAGACATTAAACTATTCTATTGACTTGAAATAACAACTAAAGATAAGCTAAAACTAATTAAAATAGATAAATAAAGCAATAAATAAAGAGTAGGGATAGAAATAATACCAAAAGATTTAATCTTGGATTGAAAATGAAAGAGAGTAACAAAGAGTAGTGTTTTAGATCTAATGAGGAACTAAACCCTAACTAATCTAAAGTGCAAAAGAAAGAAAGAAAGAAAAACAATAAGCTGAAATCTGATTTTCTAATATTTCTCTCTACATACCTCTCTCCAATTACAAGGAAGAGAGGTATTTATACCCTCCTCTAAAACCTAACCCAAATCAAGGCCCAAAATTTTAGGCATCACGTGCAGAGTAAAATAATTAGAGCCGTCGGCCTACGCGTGTAGCAGAGTTCAAATCGGTCAGGGGAACACGGAGCGCCCGCTCTAAGGCCAGAGCGCCCGCTCTGAAGTCTCGCAAAAAAATGCTCTGATTATTCTGGGAGCTAGAGCGCCCGCTTCAACATTAGAGCGCCCGCTCTGAGGGTTGGGTACTTGGTTTTTCTGCAGCAAGGAATACAGAGCGCCCGCTCCATATCTAGAGCGCCCGCTCTGAACTCTTCTTTCCTTCATATTTTGGGCTCCAATGCTCCAATCCCTTTGACTCCAAAGCATGCCTAATCCTTGCATCCAATCCTTGCTTTCTTAGCCACGGGAGGACCTGTAAGATGGAAAACACAAATCATAGGAAAGGTTCTAATAGGAGCAAATTGAAATGGGTTAAAGGAGAGGGAATAAAACCTTAGGAAATGAGCCAAAAATGACTCAAAACCACTCCAAGTAACAAATATGCTCAATAATAACAAAACTAAGCTAAAATAGAGGAAAAAGGGCAAACAAAGGGCTCAATCGGGGAAGAAACGAAGTAGAAAAGTGGGCCAAATGGCCACTGATCATTACTCTTCTTGAGTTTTTCAGTGACTTGTAAGGGAAAACGCTTTGCCTCATAAATTGTTCTCACTGGTGTGAACTCTCTTTTAGGTTCATCTTTCGGAAGTGGAACCTCGTCACATTTCTTTTGGGGTTCCTTTATAGCTTTGAGAGCTTCACGTAGTAAATGCGATACCTCCATCATAGACAGCGTGAGCAATTGTATATCTTCTTTACTTGCCGGTTCTGGAAGGTTATCCTTGACATCAAAGAAGGTTTCCTCCTCCTTTTCTGTGGCATAGATTTCTTTGACAGGTCTAATGAGAGACGAAGGGTCAACCTCTCTTTCCTCATCGGAGATAGCCAGGGTATGAGCAAGAGGTGCATTATCAATGCTTGACTTTTTACTGGCAGGGGGCAACGGCAGCTTGTTGTTGTCGATTCAGTCTTGGATAGCTTCCTTAAGCTTCCAACAGTTTTCGGTGAGATGGCCCCTACCTTGGTGATACTTACAGTGTGCATTGGGGTTCCAATTAGCCGACCTCTTTTCGACTGGTGGGTCCCCAAATGGTCCAATAGGAGTTATAAGACCTTTTGTATTCAAGCGATCAAATGTGGTGTCATAACTCATGCCAATAGGAGTAAAGTTCCTCCTAAATGGTTTCTTTTGTCCTTGATTATTCATAGCAAGGACTTCTCCTAAATTAAAAGTGCTAACATGGTTTGAGTGGGTGGTTTTGGAAGAAGAAGGATTGTCGTTCTTCTTTCCTTTCCAGCCACTGTTGGAGTTATTGTTGGCAGCTTTTAACTTAGTCGGGTCGTCTTCAATATTGATCCCAATGTCATAGACGGCCTTGAAGGTATGGAGATTATTTTGATACTTGAGATGCTTGGAATATTTTTCTTGAAGGTTCTTGATGAACAACCTCACGGAATTTTTGTCACTTGGCACCTCAATCATCTTAGCTGAGGTTTCTCTCCATTTGTTAAAGAAAGAGGTGAAGCCTTCGTTCTCTTTCTGTTTGAGGATTTCAAGTTCCCTATGGTCAGTCTCAAACCTGAATGTTGCACTTGTACCTATCAATGAAAGCGTTTGCTATGGACTCCCAGTTAGAGGTCTTTTCTTTCTCGAGAGAAAAGAACCATTGTTGGCAAACGGTCTCGAGAGATAATGAGAACAGAGAGGGGAAAACTTTCTTATCGATACCCTTAATACTCATTATTGTTTCGAATGCTCTTAAGTGAAAATAAGGGTTATCAGTTGCTCTGAATTTTGGGATGTCGTTGGCATTGAACTTCTGCGGAAGAAGATCTTTGTCTACCGAGACCCCTTGTGATGTAACCCCTTGAAAATTGTAGTCACTAGACAGCTTGCTTAGACTCTCTTGCATGAGGTCCATCTGTTGTTGCTTCACGGGATCATCGATCTTGAGTGCTAGGAGCTTCAGTGTTTCAGTCACAGTGACCAGTTGGTTCCTAAGCTCATTGACTTCTTCTTGTGTTGCCATTATAGTCTTAGCTTTCCTCTTGCGAGCTATAGGTTTGTCGAAAAGTTGGACTTGTACGAAAAGGTTGTCTTTGATTAACCGTCCTTCCTTTCTTGTCCACGCGCTGTAATTTAAACCATTTTGCGTTTTAATTACTTGACTCGAATCAACTTGACTTTACGGTTTATTTTAGGGAGAAAAAGATAAAAAAAATAAAAATAAAAAATGGGTGCATATTTTTGGCAAAAATAATGTACATATTTTTAGGGAACTAAGTATAGTTTTTTAAATTGGAGGATTAATATCCGACTTACCCCCCTAAAAAATGACGGAAAAAAACGCGCACGCAAGACTCTCTTAGACATGGTCAAAGTCTGTGTATTGGTGTGTGCGTTAAGTGTAAGTGACATGTTTGGACTCTTGTGTAATACCATGGGACTTAGTGCCTAAACTCGATTAATGACTCAACCAAGTGCTATTGACAGCAAAAATTAACCGAATTAATTAGAAAATTGGTTAATTAGACACTAGGTGATGACTCGACCAATAATCCGAACTGTCGGCCAAACGACAAAACTGGCATCACACTGTGTAGCTTGGCGCCAGACGACAGAGTTGTCGCCAGGCGCCACACTCCACATTGTGGAGCTACAGCTCAGACCTTGGCGCCAATATTGGAGCTTCAATTTGGGACTGTTTTCGGTGTTATTAATCAATTGGGGTATGCCTAAAGTCGTACTAGGACAATTCCAATTAAAATATTAGACTTTATTGACTCTAATTAATTAATTAATTAATTAATTAATTAGGCAAATTTCTTTAAGTCATTAATTTATTTAATCTCAACACAAGTCAAACAAACGGTTAGGAGAAACATAGAATAAATGCACAACAAATAATGCACAATTAGTCAAGTAGGCACAATACGATGCAATGAGTTTGCAACCTAACCATGGCTCTAGTTCTCTAAAGTTCGGGATATGGTTTAGTCAATAGAGGGTCCATGGTTAATTGTCCGAATGCACCACGCGGAAGCTTAACCGTGAAGGGTTGGCGCGAGTGGATGGGACACCGCGAGCTTTAGAAAAAACTCGCTTCCATGGTTTGGTGAATTCAACATCTCTGATGTACCCTTTGTTGCACAGAGCGTTCAATCAGGTAGATGGAGCATGAATTCCCAAACGGTTATGTACATATGTAGAACACATATGGGTTTCAGAAAAGTGAGAAAAAATTCAATCAGGAAGTAGGATCGAGCAAACAATACGAAAAACCGGTCGAAATTAGAACGCTATTTCTGGCTCGGTATTGGGGGAAATTGGCGCCAGCAATCAGAGACTGGCGCCAGTTTTTAACTATAACGCCTGGCGCTAATGCTGGCGTCTGGCGCTACGGTTAAAATGCTGGCGCCAATGCTCTGGCCCCTGACGCTACTTCCCACATGCCTCAGCAGCTTTCTGTGCTCGATAAAATTTTCCAGTTTCGCGCGGTGTTATTTCGGTCCTAGTTGTGAAAGATATTTCTCAAATTTCCTACGTGTAAAATCCTATGTTTTTAACTTATTACGGATGGTCTTTCCAATGAGATCTTTTTTATGCATATGACAATAATGTTAATCAAAATTACGCACATGAAATACTTAGAACGTTTCAAGTCTCATCCACT